CGTAAAATACTAAAGTTAACAAATAATTGAAAATTCATACTGAGAATATAAACGTAATTAATAAACTGTGATCCTTAAATTTAAGTATTAGTACAATCTTCTCTTGGCAATGGACATAGTTTTGCAGTCGCGATTTTGGTTGTTCCTGTGGCTGTCCTTACGGTGGCAACCCTTGCCACACCATCCTTGCCTGGGTGAATGGAAACAATCCGTCCAAGTTTCCATTTGAAGGGCGGTAGGTTGTCATCCTTGATTATGACCATCATGTCTTCCTCGAATGGCCTGACAGCCTTTGCTCCCTTTGTACGGAGTTGTAGTTCAGATATGTATTCTTTGTTCCAACGCTGCCAGAAATGCTGCTGTAGCTTCTGAATTAGCTGCCATCTGTGTAGCCTGGAGTCTGGAAGGTGAGTTAGTGCAGGGTCCGCTACTGACGTGAATGTCCGACCAATCAGAAAGTGAGCGGGTGTGATTAGGATTAAATCATTGGGGTCTGAGGACATTGGAATCAATGGCCGCGAATTTAAGAGTGCTTCAACTTGCACAAGAAATGTATAAAATTCTTCAAATATAAGAACCGCGTTACCTACAACTCGTTTTAAATGATGTTTGGTCGACTTTACTCCCGCCTCCCATAGCCCACCGAAATGTGGTGAATAGGCGGGAATAAAATGCCACGTAATACCTATATTACCAGCCACCTGTTCGATTGCCTTGGTCTCCTTTAGGAGAAATTGTGCTAATTCCTTCAATTCTCTGTTCGCTCCAACGAAATTGGTTCCGTTATCGGAATACATGTGCGCTGGTTTTCCGCACCTTGAAGAAAAGCGTCTGAGTGCAGCAATGAAGGTTTCTGATGTCAAGTCTGACACCAACTCGAGATGCACTGTCTTTGTAGCCAGACAGACAAATAAACACACGAATGCCTTAGAAATTTTGCATCCTCTCTCTTTTCTATCCTTTATAAAAAAAGGGCCTGCATAATCGACACCTGTAGCGTGAAACGGTGCAGTCATGGTTACACGAGAACTTGGTAATTCACCCATCGGTATCTGAGACTGTCTTGGATTGTTCCTAAAGCATCTAATGCAGTTACGCACAGTTTTTCTAGCTAAATTCCTACCTCCTAATGGCCAGAAACGTTCACGTATAGAATATAAGAGTGATTGTAGTCCGGATGCAGCAGTCGTAAATGTTCACTGGTGAAAAGCAATTTTGTAAATTGATGCTCTGCAGTTAAAATTATGGGGTGTTTCTTATCTACCGTGAAATCAGCGTTTTTTAGCCTACCACCGACACGTATAAGACCCTTCTCATCGAGAAATGGATTAAGTAAAATTAATTTCCCCTTTGTAATCTGTTTGCCCGTTTTTAGGATTTCAAGCTCAGTTGAGAAGGATTGTTCCTTTTTTTTTTTTTTTTATGTCGGAGGGGAAATGCCTACCGCATTCCCTGGACCTCGGGGGAGAGTCCAGGGATATGTGGGGCTCGCACCCACTAAAACCCCTCCGGGTGTCCTTTCTCTGGCCGATGTTGGGGGCTCCCAGGAACGCGTGGGAGCATACTTCTGGGAGCCCCCTGGCCCGCCGGCTGACTGCCGGACCTAACCCGCCCGGGGCCTTTTGACGGGCCCCGAGCGGCACCGTTGCGCGTCTTCTCTAACTGGGTGCGGAAGGGG